CACCCCCCACCCCCCACCCTCTCTAAAAAGTGCCGACAAGGGAGAACTCTCCCTATCCCTCGATTTCATTCACCCGGACTCTCTTTTGCGCATGTTTTCTAACTGTGATCGGGTATAACTTATAATAACCTAAACTGCGTTTAGGGTTTTTATTGATTTAATAAAATTAACCTCAAGACTATACAAGAGAAACGAAAATTTTCAAATATTATTCCTTTCGGTAAAACAAGTTCCATTCATGGAACTAATTAATATTTTTTAACGGCCATCGTAACTATTTTAAACCTATTTTTAAATAATTTACACAATGATAATCATAATTATTACGAGTTTGTGGCAGTCACATTTATTTATTCATTTAGAAATCCGTTGGAATAAAAGATTTTTTAAAAATTGCCAAATATGATCACTCTCCTCTTAATGGGATATAAATTCAGTTCAAAGCCTAATGTCTTGAACTGTAAATTCTATTTAAAAGAACATTTTCATTTAAAACGGCATGGAGGTGTGTACCTTTTCCAAAATTAATTACAGAAATGGCTCGATCAGTATCATTGATATTGAAAATTATTTCCTTGTTTTTTGCATATTCTCTGTTAAAATATTAATACGGCATGTGCCATTTTCCTTCAAACGTGTTTTCAGTCAAATTAAATAGCATAAGCTCTACTTAATTGTTTGATACATTTATAGTCTCAAGGTATTAAGAACACAGGCGAGTTTGTACGAAATTTGTTACTGAGGGTCAAATTAAGCAGCTATTGAGTCAATTTATTTCAAAGAAGGGCTTAACAAATTGTAAAACGATATTTCATCTTCACTACCAATATACTGCAGCCTATCATAATCTCTTCTCAGAATCTTTTGATAGGGTCCTATTAGTTTCCAAATTTACTAATTAGGCAATTCACCAATTTTACTTCTCTTCCTTACCTCCCACTCAAATTTTAAATCACAATATCTTGTACTCACTACCCAAGTAGCATTATATTACTTTTAAAGAAACAGTCTTTGTCATTTGGTGATCATAAAACCGTTAATACTTTCCCTATTTTCAATGACCTCAGTATTTATTGTCATCATGATAAGTTATTTACATATTTCAGCTTTTTTGACGCATATCCTAACCCTATTACTTACAAATGAACATAGTCATTTAGACTAATTCAGCAAAATGGTCTGAATTAAATAAAATCAATAATTCTGTATATTCAGAAACGCTCTCATAAAATTGCTTTTAAACGACCATTCTAAGACCTATTTATGAGTCATTCTTGGTAAACTCACATCGATAAGAGGATATAAATCATTATAGTTAAATGCATTCACGGCATGACTGTGACGGTGCATGTGTGTTTAGAGCGATAAAATGACCTACAAAGAAGACAGCTTACTAACCATCACTGTTCGTGGCAAACTGCCTAATTTATCGATTTTTCCTTGATGCGCGATCGATGTGATGACGCTACTGCCTTCGATTTCCAGTGGGGGTAACAAGGCACGTGAGCTATTATTTAAATTTGAGAAAGAGACTTTGCAAGAATTTCGAAGATAAGGTAGGGAGTGGAAAAACGCCTAACTATAATTTAACATACTTTTCCTCATGGCATTTAACCACTAGGTCTGATCCACAAATTGTTTGAGCTCAATTAACCAATTAACTTAATTATGCGATATCCCTTAAATTTCACTTCTTTAGTAATAGGCTATTATATATCATAGTAATATAAGAAAAGTAGTGAATGTTAGGGCTGCCAATAAGATGTAAATTTTGGTTTACAAGATTTATATCGGACAATAGGAATTTAACTGATGTTCCAAAGATAGGAACGACTGTCACAGATCAGGTCCTCATTTATCTAACTAAGCATTATCACTGTAACTCTCAGACCCATTGTCAACTGAGGAGCTACTCTTGAAACCCATAGGTAAATTTAGCATGGTGGGA